TGGAAGAAGGAGCAATATCATTCACCCTTCTCCCAGTTGACACTCCAATCATGGCAATTTTTATATGACCCAGCAAGCAAGATACAGATGTAAAATGACTATGGTGCAAGACCTGGAAGCTGGGACATCCCCCCCCCCCTTGAAGTTAGACCTTGAAGCTTGGCAGCTGGAGACGGCTTTCTTCCAGAAGCTTTGGTATTCAAGGTATTCAAGGTATAACAGCATATCACACACAAACAACAACATGGCAGATAGGGCTGCGACGAGTAGTCGAGAGTATGATTTCTCGTACTCGAATATTCGGCCGCAAAAAACAAATTCCTTGTCACCTGGCACTGTCCAGGCTGACGCTTACCCGTGCCAGGGAGAGCGGCGGCCGCTGGCATGGTACCGTCGGTTAAAAATGTTTCCCAACTCGAGCACTGTCAAACTCACCGCTCAGAAACTGGGATCAAATGTCCGGATTTCTGTTTGGACTCGGAGGAAAGTGGATTATTCTGCCATCTTTGGTTTTTAAAACAGCATTGTTTACTGTTATTATTATTATTAAATCAACGCCTTCAACTGCAACTCGAAGTAAAATTGCATGTGTTTTCGGCGATAGAGTTGGGATACTGCTCCAGTGGTATGGTGGTGGCAAAAAAACAAAAAAAAATCCCCCAAAAATCCAAAAAATCAAAAAAAAATTAAATTTTTTAAAAAAAACATGGCATCTGAATATTCAAGTATTCGCTTTTAAAGGTAAAGACCAGTATTGGTAACGCCCCAATTTCAAAAAATGAAATGGAAGCTCTCATTACCAATCATGTGAAAGAATATGTTTTGACTAATACATGATGATAAAAAATTTGCCGGGAAACCGCCTACTAATTCATATATTTGGTAAATTTATTTCTCTCATGGTCGTGTGAGAGAGATAGGGTAGTCCCATATACATCTTTCTGTGTATAGTGCTTGTAACTTTACGAAGAATGGGCCAAATTTCTTATCATTTTGATGATTCCAGAACCTTGCAGATGCTAGATGCTAGATGATCAACCTTTTCTGATCGATTCCACAACGTTTCTTTCACAATGCAATCGCATGACCATTACTGGTCTTTACCTTTAAGCCTGGGAGTGTACTCGGGTACCTCATTACACTGTTGTGCACAGCCTTAGTAACATTCCACTTGGCTTTGAAGTTCCATGCTCCAAACCGCGCTTCCACTGCGGGGACTTTCGGAAGACAGGCACCAGTTTTACATTTATTACAAAATATTAAATTACCGGCAAAATTTCAGTGTACATGTAAATCAAAAACTTTATATGGGAATTGTATTGGGAATAGTGCATCAAACAAATTTTCAAATTTAGAACTCCGTCCTTTTTATAATTTGTGTGCCAAAGTTGGTAAAAGTAAAATTACATCCTGACAAAAACTCAATAGTTTAGGATTATGCAGTAATTTGTGCATGTTTTAATGTCCCATTATTTGATCCATGATTTACAATCTTCAATAACATTAAGTTTGCTTAAGTTTAAAAAAGGATGAAATTACACAAGTTTGTGTTCGCCTGTTCTACTCTTTACACATTCAACAATGGATGAGAAATCATTTAAAGGGACAGCGAACAGTTGCTGCGATACCATTTTTATGCCTCCGTTACGAAGTAGCCGGAGGCATTATGTTTTCGGGTTGTCCGTCCGTCCGTCCGTACGTCCGTACGTCCGTACGTCCGTCCGTCCGTACGTCCCGTTCTCGTGATCGCGTTATCTGAAGAACCGATTGACGGATTCCTGCCAAACTTTGGTCATGTATGTATCTTGCAGAGCCAATGAACTGATTAGATTTGGGGGTCACGAGGTCAAAGGTCAAAGGTCACAGGGCTCATTATGTATGCAAAAACAGCTCGTGATCGCGTTATCTGAAGAACCGATTGATGGATTCCTGCCAAACTTTGGTCATGTATGTATCTTGCAGAGCCAATGAACTGATTAGATTTTGGGGTCACAAGGTCAAAGGTCAAAGGTCACAGGGCTCATTATGTATGCAAAAACAGCTCGTGATCGCGTTATCTCAAGAACCGATTGATGGATTCCTGCCAAACTTAGGTCATGTATGTTACTTGCAGAGCTGATGAACTGATTAGATTTTGGGGTCATGAGGTCAAGGTCAAAGGTCATGCGGCTCATTATGTATGCAAAAATAGCTTGTGATCGCATTATCATTAGAACAGATTGATGGATTCCTGCCAAACTTAGATCATGTATGTATCTTGCAGAGCCAATGAACTGAGTAGATTCTTGGGTCATGAGGTCAAAGGTCAAAGGTCATGGGCTCATTATGTATGCAAAAATAGCTTGTGAATGCATTCTCATTAGAACTGACAGATGGATTACTATTTAACTCGGGACATCTTGCGGAGCCAATGAACTGAGTAGATGTTAGGGTCATGAGGTCAAAGATCAAAGGGTCATATATGTATATGAGAAATTGCTTGTAATCACGATATTCTGAGAACCTGTTAATGGATTACAATTGAACTTGAATTTGAAAAATTTCTTCTGTTTTGGTTTGTAAATTGCTCTATGACGGAGGCATCATTTCGACTGCGCGCAGTCGAAGTTCCATCTAGTCTGATGTAGGAATTCTAAATCCTGATATTGCCCTTAGGTATAGGGCTTAGGTACAAGGCTAGGGTGCCACATGGGAATAAGGAAGGGGCGGTGAAGCCCAGGCGGAAGTTGCAGCCAGGGGAAGGGGCACAGAGTTTATGGAAGAAATGATTATCATTAAAAGAGAAGGTTGAGTTCTGGGAAGAGGTGAAAAATAATATGTGAGCGTTAATCATTGTTATTATGCAAGTGTGGAAGAACATCAGATATAACATGCCCCCCGAAAAGCATGGCTCTTCAAATGCCTTCATATTCTAAATATGGCATGTAACATCGTAAAAATCAGGACGGATTTTAATGCCAAATGGTACTTTTGGAGTCACCGAGGCCCATAGTTTTTAACCAGTACCTCGAATAGAAGGCATGGTATATTCGTTTTATATCCTGCTTCAAAAATTTATTTAAAAAAAATTGAAATTTAAAAAAATCCTATTTTTGGGAAAAAATTAAAATTTAGAATTTTAAAAATGTCAAATTTTATCAAAACAAAATTTAAAATATTTCTTATTTATGAAATTAAGATTTGAAGAAAAAAAAGATTCAAAAAAAAAAAATCACATTTTGTTTTCAACTCCCAAATAGTACTCTCATAGACCGTATTTGCCGGCGTAAAGGCCGCAGTATTTTTGGAAGAGAAAATATCAAAAAGTCGGGGTGCGGCCTTTACAGCGAAACAGAAAAAAAAGGAAAAAAAAAGGAAAAACCAGCACGAATTTGTACATATGGGACTAGATCGTTCATTTCCACACATCTTGCCGACAATTTTATCTTGCTTTGTTGACATGAAGACGAAAATAAACTTCCATAAACAACATCTGCCGATAGATTTTGATCTAAGTTCGTGCCAATGCATTGCAAATGTAAAAGAAGGGCCCATTTATCGGAGCTGCCGTGAAGTCGCTATTTTCATTCCATTTCAATGACTACATCACAGAAAACTGCAGTGTATGGTATCAGTGCGTGATGGCCGAGCGGTTTAAGGCGGTGATTTTAGTCACATCAGCATTTGTACGCAAGAGATCGAATTCCGACTTTGGCAAAAGATTTTTTTTTTTTTTAATGTAAAAATCGGGGGTGCGGCCTATACGGCGCTGCGGCCTTATCGCCGGCAAATACGGTAGTACTTTTTCAGAGAAACCTTTAAAAAAATGAAATATTTCTGGTCACGGGACAAGCTCTCAACCAATCAAAAGCCAATACATTTTTTATGCATGATATAAAAGCTCCTATTTGAAACTTCGACTTCAGTGGATATACACATTTTTTGTTTAAAGTTGTGGGCGCTTAAAAGGGAAACGAGACTTGAAAGACATAATCAATACAATCATACATGTACTGTACATTTCTGTATATATGTATATGTATACATGTGCATTATGATGGATCAGCTTGATAATGTTTATTCATGTGTACAGTACATTGTTATTGTATGTAGTGAAATTGTGAAAGAAACTGAAAGATACATACATGCACACCTGTACAAGTTTACAACGGATGACAATTCTAATGAAAACATGTTTGAAAATCGGCCTTTGTCTGTCTCTGAATTTGATTTTGATGGCAAATCTTCTTCCTCTCCCCAATAGAATATATAACATTTATAGTGTATTTATTGCAATTTCATAACAGTCTCCCTTTTTTTCTCTCTTACTCCTGTCAATTTTTTCTTTTCTTTCTGCTTTCAATTTATCTGTTTTCTTTCTCATTCATTTTCTGCCACTTTTGTGTACACCTGTACTTCTCGTGCTTTTTCCTCTTTTCCTTTTCTGTCAATTCTCTTAATCATTCTCTCTCTCCATTGTTTCTCCTTTGCCTTACTATTTTATCCACTCTGTTTTTCACACTCTATCTCCTTCCCTCTCTCTGCCTGTCTTTCTATCTCTTTCCTTCCTGCCTATCCTACGTGTCTTTCTCTTTCCTACCACTGACATGTATCTCCATCCTCTTCTACCTCTCTCACTTTCTCTACTTCTTTAATCCTCCCCTCATTCCATTTCCCTTTATTACCTTCTTGTATTCTGAACTTGCCTCCCCCCCCCCATTCCATCTTTCTTTCACAACTTCCCCTCACTCTTTCCTCCCTCTCCCCCTCTATCTCTCTCCCTCTCTCTCCCTCCCCCCCCCCCCCTCTCTCTCTATCCCTCTATATCTCTATATACATGTATCTCTCTATCTCTCTCTCTTTCTCTCCATCTATCCGTCTATCTTTCTTTCTCTCTCTTTCCTCCTATCTCTCTCTCTCTCTCTCTCCCTCTCTCTCTCTCTCTCCCTCTCTATCTCTCTCTCTCTCCATCTCTCCCTCTCTCTCTCTCTCTCTCTCTGTGTTCCTTTCTGCTATTACAGGACTCTCACAACTGCATCACCAAGCTCACAGAAGACACATCACTGTTTGCAGTCTATGATGGCCATGGAGGTATGTAATATGTGAACATCTTTGTTTAATACAGTGTGCTGACATTTACTCTGGTGGCATTTGCTCTGGGCTGCTTTCCTATAATAAATAATAATAATAGTTTGTCCTTATATAGCGCATTTCAGGACCGCAGGCCCTCTCAATGCGCTTTACAGATATAAAAGATGCAGGATTATGGTTACGCAGAGATGCCAACCAGTACAATTAAATCATATTTAGTACGATAATAAGAGTGAAATACAATCTTAAACTATAATTTTTTATCTTTTTTTTTCAACACCAACAACAACAACAACAACATTTAAAAAAAATAGTTGTTTTTTGTTTTTTGTTTTTTTGTTAACCCATAAAAACATGTACAAGTAATCCCCCGCAAACCCAACAAAAACCTAGCTTTACAATTTTCTCATTAAAGTTTAATGAAAGAGCAAACATTTTTCTGAAATTTTACTGGCCCAGGGCCGACGGGCCAGTGGTAGTGTCGAGTTTTCGTGAAAATCTGATTTTTCTCTCCAAAATCTGATATATTTTTTTTAGGATACACACACTATGACATGACTGACTCAAGAAAGCGGACAAAATATACAGTTCCTCTGGTAGACAAAGGAACATCCCTTCACTGCTATTATGTAAAAATGTGTAGAACAGGTGTCACATGCATATTCACCTTTTTACATAATAGCAGTGAAGGGATGTTCCTTTGTCTACCTGAGGAACTGTATATTTTGTCCGCTTTCTTTGTCTGTCATGTTCATAGTGACAGTCTGTTTTTTCGAGTCAATCTCTGGGTTAGGCCATTATTCTGTCAAAGATGTAGGATATTAAAGATGCAGGGTTGCCATTTGGTAGTATGTAAGGGTTACGGTTGTGGTTAGGATGAGATACATTTCCTTGTGTATGTATCGATTCACTTACGCATTCGGTTAGTGTATGCTATCGACTACTGAAGCGTCATGGTGTAGTGGTTCTGACTCTCGTCTTTCAATCATAAGGTCGCGGTTCAAATCCCACTCCGTGATGTTGATTTCCTTCAGCAAGAAATTTATCCACATCGTGCTGCACTCTACCCAGGTGAAGTAAATGGGGACCTGTTAGGAATTTATTTCTTGGCTTTGGTGTGACTAAACAGACACCAAACACTTTGTCCCTAACATGAAGTGTTCAAACTATCATGTGTAGGCCATGAATTCTGCTGGGGAAAAAATTTTTTAAAAATTTCATAACACTTCTTAACATTCAGAAACTTCTTTGTTCTTGACGGAAGAAACACTGCACAAGCACATTACAGTACATTTACTCCTTGGCAAAACAAAACAAATATATTAAAGTCATATCAAGATAGATTTTTTAGACTGATCAGTTCACTCTACTGCATTTGCTGGCATTCAAGATTAAAGGTAATACAAAGTTTTGGTATGGGGTCATGAATTTGGTTCAAATTAACATATTGGAAGCATATGTGATCCTACAATATTCAGTGATCGTTGTCGCGGTTGAAATCGAGTCTACAGGTGATAAAATTGTAAATAATAAACTTGTTATGTTGTATAGCACCCTCTCAAGGTCAATATATTAATTTAGCTATAAAACAATGTTATTTGTCTAAAATCGACCGATTTACTATTACCGTTTGGACTATATATATATATCACAACTGCATATTCTGAGACTTTCATTGTTGCAGCTACCATCGTATGGCTGAGGCGCTATTTGAAATTTATCAAAATTTAATGGGAGCACCAGTAAATTTTTATATTCAATTTTTCTCGAAAGCAGAAGCGTTTTAGGGGCTAAATTTTCTAGTGCTTGTAAATAATACATCCATAGGGGCATCCAAATATACCCAAATTGTAAAGAATCACTATCAAGCCAGTTTTCAAAATCTACCAAAACTTTGTAATACCTTTAAAATTAGGTTATGAAAGCTATCAGATTTTTGTTGTGTGTCTTTTCTTTTGTGGAATTGCACACGAATAGTCTTCTAATACACTTCAAGGCTGTTGCCAACCCAACAAATTTCTTTGTGTTGTTCACAACAAAGAATGTGCATGTTAATGAAGGCATGTAGGCCTCTTGCCAAAGTCCAGTACCTAATTAATTACTGAGGGAAATCCCCTAATCAAGGGAAATGTGATACGGGGTCATTCTTTGATTAATTGAGCTCTATATCAAGGCAACAAGGTATAAGTACTTTGGTTTATGGGGGCAAAGAATTATGTAGATACAGGTACCTCAAGAATCGAATTACCATTATGTTACATGTTCTCTCTCTCTCTCTCTCTCTCTCTACTTCTCTCTTTCTCTGTCTCTTTCTCCCTCCCTTTCTTCCCCCTCTCTCTCTTTCCCTTTCCCCCTCCTTCTCTCCCTCTCTTGCTCCCCTCTCTCTATATATCTCTGTCTCCCTTCCTCCCAACCCTCTCTCTACTTCTTTCTTTTCTGTCTCTTTCTCTCTCTCTCTACTTTTCTCTCTCTCTCTCTCTCTCTCTCTCTACTTCTCTCTTTCTCTTTCTCCCTCTCTCTCTCTTTCCCTCTCTGCTGTGTTACGACTTTGGATACTTTGATAACTTCAAACTTTATCCATTGGTTCTCTTCCCTCTCCATTCACTCCTTCCTTTGCAAGCAATGTTCTTCAAGCATAAATACCTGTATCTTTTTTACCATTAATTTACTTAGTACATTTACTTTTATTGACTTAATGGGAGCTGTGTAGTATAAAGTATATTGGTGAAGGCTCACAACTCTCACACAAGAGAATCCAGGTTCATTCCTTGCTTGCGATTGTTTGTCCTTATATATTTTTTCCCTATATTTGTCCCTGTTGACGAAGGTGTATTAAATGGATACTTTTTAATGCTGATTGCAGCGCCTTCAAGATGAACAGTTTTCATATTTGTTAAGGCTAGCTTGGGTGTATATGACCATATATGAGGACGTGTCGTGGTCGAGTGGATACATGTAATGTATGTTACCGGACTGTTGATCACAAGGTCCGCGGTTCAAGTCCCGCCATGGCACTAATGTCCTTTGGCAAGACATTAATCTACATTTGCTACACTCGACCCAGATGAGGTAAATGGGTACCTGGCAGGACTTTATTCCTTGAATTGCTAGAGCGCCGTAATGGCAGCTAGGCTAAAGCCGGGGTAATAATATGTAAATAGAATTGTCTAGATAGACGGTGCTATATACATGTAAATGCCTATTCATCATCAATAGTGATCTGTCAGTTTATGACGGGTTCACTTCAGTGATCCAATCAACATTCTATATTAAGTGTTTCTCCAAGTTCCTCGGTCTTGAGCCATCCGTTTCAGGGTTTCATACCCTGTTGCCTTTACGAGGTCTTCCCCTCTTCTTCTCTCCACGAATACGACCATCTATGACTCTGAGCATCAAGCCCTCATCATGGTGCATAATGTGTCCAAGCTATTTCTTCTGTCTCTCTCTAATTGTTTAGTATCAACTTTGCAGGTGCTGAGGTCGCAGTGTACACAGCTCAACAGTTTCCAAAGTTACTCACAAACCTAAAATCCTTCAAGGACGGTGACATTGATGCTGCGTTTGAAGAAGCCTTCATGACCTTTGATGCATCTCTCAAACAGAAAGCAATCATAGAGAAGCTCAGGAGGATAGCAGGCATGGAAGAGGGAGAAGAGAAAGAAGGTATGTTATCAGGGGGTTTTTTCACAAAGACTAAAATCGACTTTAAAGGTAAAGACCAGTTTTGGAAACGCCCCCTCTCAAAAAAAATGAAATGGAAGCTCTTATTACCAATCATGTGAAAGAATATGTTTTGACTAATACGTGATCATACAAATTTTGCAGAGAAACCGCCTGCTAATTGATATATTTGGTAAATTATTATATCTATTTGGACCTGATACATATAACGCACGTGTCCCACACGTGTCGCGTAGTCCCATATACATCTTTCTGTGTACAGTGCTTGTAACTTTACCAAGACCAAATTTCTTATCATTTTGATGATTCCAGAACCTTGCAGTACACACCAATACTAATATGCTAGATGATCAACCTTTTTTGATTGATTCCACAGCGTTTCTTTAACGATGCAATCGCATGACCATAACTGGTCTTTATCTTTAAGTTGGACTTCACTATGGCAGGCCATGATTCATGCCACTGTTTGCTCTGACCGTTTTCTGGCATCGGTCTCTAAAGGGACGTACAAATCATGGTCACAAATCTACAGAATGTTGATAATTCATTATTGAAGGAAAAAATATTATCTAAAGGTCATTATATGGTGAGAGCAAACAGTGGCATTAATAGCCTGCCATATATTCAAGTCCAACTTAAAGTCGATCTTAGTCTTTGTGAAACACTCCCCATGACTACTACCCTTCAACACATGCCCTAACAGAGAAGAGTGGTTATATTGTTAAATATGTGGATATCAAATAATTGCAGTTATTGATATTATACAACATCTGACATGGTTCATAAATGTATATTTCGTAATCCCTGTTGAAAGAAATCAGAAGGCTCCGTCCTAAAATGAGTTTTGTTTGATCCAGATTGATCACCAGTCCTCCAAATCGGTCGCAAACTTTTAAACTCCTACGTTATAGTGCGGTTGAGTTGAATTAACCACTACTGCTCTTTAAAGGTAATACAAAGTTTTGGTATGGGGTCATGAATTTGGTTCAAATGAACATATGGAAGCATATGCGATCCTACAATATTCAGTGGTCGTCGTCGCGGTTAAAATCGAGTATAGAAATATGAAATTGTAAATAATAAACTCTTTATGTTGTACATGTACATGTATAGCTCCCTCTCAAGGTCAAGATATTTTTTAAGCTGTAAAACAATGTTTCTTGACTACAACCAACCGATTTCCTATTCCTGACTAGAAATTATATATCACGACTACATACTGTATTCTGAGATTTTCATGCAGATACCATTGTACGGCCCTAGGCGCTATTTGAAATTTATCAAAATTTACGGGGAGCACCGGTAAATTTTTAGATTCAATTTTTCTCAAAAGCAGAAATGTTTTAGGGGCTAAATTTTCTAGTGCTTATAATACATCCACAGGGGCATCAGAATCACGAACCACCCAATTTCAAAATTTTCCAAAACTTTGTATTACCTTTAACCCATAGACAACTGAATTCTCTTAATCCCATAGGCTTAATAAAGGGACACCAGGTTCCTGTAGACAACGGGTTAATTGATCGCAACTCATCTGAGATTCAGACACAACTCTTTGTGAAACTGGGGCTCCTCTGGAACTCACCCTGCCATGCCCCAACAAGGTGGACTGTTGATCATGGTCTAGGGGGTGTTTCACAAAGATCCTTAGTTGAACTTAACTCAAAGTTGGACTTAAATAATATGGAGAGCCATTTGTAGCCTTATAATAAAATATATTCAAATGCAAAAATTTGAGCATTTTAGACTTTTCATAAATTCCACATCAAGAACATGAATTCTCCCATGATAATAGAAAATATTAATGATTTGAATCAACATTTTATGCCTTTTAAAGTAACTTTTACAAAATATTTTCAAGGATGTTAATGGCTTTCCATAATTGTTAAGTCCAACTTAGAGATATGTTCAACTTAGGATCTATGTGAAACACTACCCTGATTGTCGATTTTTATTTTTTTATTTGATTTGATGCATTCCAGAGGATGGGGAGACGGAGACACTCCTTGAAGAGGCGGAGCTTCCTTTGGAACAACTGGTCGCCCGCTACTGCTCCCAGCCGTCCAAGAACAAACGAGCCATGATCAAGCAGGCCCACGGGGCCGACCTCCTCTCCCCCATGATCCAGAAGAAACAACCCAGGTTCCCCCTCACAGCTGTGAATGGATCGCTCCAAGACGGGGATGGGCCTGTGCCAAACAAGACTGTTCCATTCGACGAGGAGGGGGATATTGTTGCCAAAGGAAAGAGGGATGAGGATGAGAATGTGGACAGTGTTAATGGCCCCGATGGGGATAAAAGAAGGGAAGGGGAGAATGGCACGGACAGTGATGATGATGATGTTGATGAGGAAGGGGGCGAGGTCAAGGTCAAGGAGGAGGTAGCGGAGATGGGGCAAGGAGATGGGGCATCAGAGAAGACGGAGGGGTCGGTGAAAACACAAGTCAAAGATGAAGCAGGAACGTCTGCAAACTCAGGGAGCCATAACGGCAATGTACAGCACAGCGATACCAAAGAATCAGGTGAGAGTACTTTAAAGTGAGGGTTGAGTTCTGGGTAGAGAAGAAAAATAATTTGTGAGCGTTATCATTGTATTTTGCAAGTATTATGTATTATGGAAGAACATCAGAGAAAAAATGTTCCCTGAAAAACATGGCTTTTCAAATGCCTTAATATTCTAAATATGGCATGTAACATCCCATATACATCTTTCTGTGTACAGTGCTTGTAACTGTACCAAGAATTGGGCAAATTTCTTATCATTTTGATGGTTCCCGAACCTTGCAGTACACACCAATACTCATATGCTAGATGATCAACCTTTTCTGATCGATTCCACGACGTTTCTTTCACAATGCAATCGCATGAACAGAACTCAACTTTATCTTTAAAGCCAGGTACAAATTACGGGATCCTCCTGCGTTCTCATTTTTGTTGAAAGAGCGGTTTTATTTGATATGGAAATCTAAACAACCACTGACCTACCATTGAGGCTCTATATAATGATGAGAATAATAACAACCAGAATTTTAGTCTGAATACAAGCTGAATCAGCTTCAAATCGTAGACAATGGCACTACTGGTCTGACATCGGTAAGATTTTGAGCTGATTTAGCCAAAGAAGCATGTTAAATGGCGACTGGCTGGAACGCTCCCCAGGAAGTGGAAAATGTGCACTCATTGTGTGCGGGTTAGCCTGAATCCGATGACCGGGGTAATAATATATCTGTACAGCGCTTAGGCACATCGTTGGATCGATGTATGGAGCGCTTTATAAAAACAAATTATTATTATTATTATTATTATGAAATCCCTTGAAAATTAGATTTCATTATCATATGACTATTCAGATGCTAATGTTTCAATGTCCATATGAAATGCCAAATATTGCAAATTTTCTTAAAATCAGATCTCGGTCACATCGTGTAGTGCGCAATGTGCTTGACAAAATTCTTTGTTCGGCTGAGAGTAAATTTGTCATAGATATTTAGCATTTGCTACTGATAACTGGGGGTGTTTTACAAATATCCTAAGTCGAACTTAACTCTAAGTTGGACTTAAACATGATAGAGAGCCATTTGTAGCCTTTAAATAAAATATATTCAAAAGCGAAAATTCCACATCAAGAACATTGTTACGAATATGCAAATGAGATGGTGATCAACATGCTAATTCCAAGATGTGGCTCGAGTTGAGAGCAATAAACGGATCAAAGGTAACCAAATCATCTTGATTGTTCTTTATTTATCGAAATAATTCTGAGTTGTGGAAGGGCCAATATGAGTAGATTGCCCCGACCCAACAGATTGGGGGCTTGTCTCAAGAGCTAGATATAGTAACATATGCTGTTTTGTTACTTTTCCGATCCGAAACGCGTATTGTTTGGAGTTTACCTTTTGTCCCATTCATGGGTTTTGGTGTGGTTCTCGCACACATTTAATGTCTGGAATGTCTGTGCTGTAGTCATGGTAGTGTAGCGTCCATAATGGGGTTAAGCCTACACAGTTTGACTTTGTTTTGTACTGCATGATAGCTCGAGTCTTGTCGATGTAGTCTCATTGGTATGAAATTCACTGCACATCTGCTGCGGTTGTCCGGTATTCTGGTCCTGGTTTTGCTTGTTCTTGCATGGCAGTCGTTGAAGGAGTTAGTCGGATTGACTTTTAACTTTGCCTCGGCTTCGTTTCTACTTCTAGGGTAATGGCCTAGATTAGTTGTTTGCATGCAATCTAGTTTGCTACACATCTGATGTAGTGTGGGACTGTGGGTACTGGACTTTCTGGAAATTATTCCATGTTTCATGTGTGTTTGTGTGATATGAAGACTAGATCTAGATCTATACGTGTAAATGTAAGAGTTGATGGAATCTAACAAAAATTGATTTGAGTTGTGGAGGTGGAGTCTCAATATAACCCTCTGCTGCATGGCTACATGTATATCAATTTCACAGAATTGGTGATAGTTTGATGCTTGATCAAGTTGTTTTGCTTAGTCGGTTGGTCAATTTTTGTTGTTTGATCTGTTTGACTATACTCTGTGTTGATTCACATTCAACATTTTTGTTGGTTTTTCCTTCCAGTCGTCAGGACGATTGGCCTACTTTGTGAGACTTGTGTAACTTGCACAGACTAGATCTATACAATGGCTGACTTTGATATTGAAAAGTTTTTGAGTCAGGACTTGACCATTGGCCGGTTACGTCAGCTACGAAAGGTTGATTTAACAGCTGTAGGAACAAAGCTATTGGTAAATCTAACTGGTCACAAAAGCAAGTCAGAAATAGTTGATGCAATTACAGCCCATGCAGGACTGAGCGCTGCGACGGCCGTGGCACAAGCGGATGCGCCTACATTTAATGATAATGGTGGTACTAATAACCAAGATAAAGCTACCACTGACAAGGTTGACCTTGATTTAGCTAAGATTGAGCTAGAGGAGAGAAGAGATAGAATAAAGGCTGCTGAGCATGAGAGAGAAATGGAACGAAAGAGGTTGGAATTTGAAATGATGCGTCATCATGAAATGACTTCTCATGGTAGTCAGTCTGGTGAGAGAGACAAGAGGTCGATAGAAGCTGGGTTCTCTGCTAGGGTTAAGCTTGTTCCTAGATATGATGAAAGTGAGTTAGACTCATTCTTTCTTATGTTTGAGAGGGTTGCCAAGAGAATGGAGTGGCCGGAAGATGAATGGGCATTGCTCATCCAACAAGTGATTTCTGGTAAAGCTCAGTCGGTTGTGTCTGCACTGAGTTATGAGCAGGCATTTGATTATTGGACAATGAAGGATGCTATTCTTCATTCATTTGAGTTGATTCCAGAAGCCTACCGTCAGAGGTTTCGCAATCTCAGGAGAGAAACTGGAGAGACTTGTGTAGAGTTTGCTTGGAAAAAAGAAGTTTCCTTCGATCAGTGGATCAGATCTTTGAAAATAGATGCCACATATGATTCTCTTAGAGAGATTATGCTCATTGATGAGCTTAAAAGATGTATGTCTCAAGAGGTTAGGACATATGTCAATGATAATGTAGTTAGTGATGTGAGAAAGGCTGCCATGTTGGCAGATGGGTACGAATTGACACATAAAGGGAGTAGTTCACCACTTACTAGGCGTAGGAATCAATCTAGGTCACCTACGACTCAGAGGAAGTCAGGTAACACCGGCACTAATCAGAGTAGTGGTTTTGGAACTGAAGGCAGACTTCTCTGTGCCTACTGTAAGAAAGAGGGCCACCTTAAGACGCAATGTCCAAGACTAAAAGTAAAAGAAAAAAATCTTGAACAAGAAATTACACAGCCTAGTGGCTTTGTGCGCATAGCAGCAGTCGACATGCAAAAACGTGTAATGAATGATCACAATGAAACAAAAAGAAGTGATCAAGTAAGAGATATTGGACATGATGAGGAGATTGATGAAGGATTTCTAGATTTTGTTTCTTATGGCACAGTTAGGTTCAGTGTTGATGATAAGGAGTTGCCTATCACGATTTTAAGGGATAGTGGTTCTATGAAGACTCTGCTTATTGCTGATGCGTCGTCCTTGGACGCAGAGAATTTCACAGGCAAGAAAGTTTTGATTCAAGATGTGAATGATGGCTTCAAACCGGTTCCATTATATAACATCGAGCTTAGCAGTGGATTAGTTTCTGGACCAGTGACTGTTGGCATTGTGCCTAAGTTGCCTATGAGGGGAATTTCAATGTTGCTCGGCAATGATTTAGCCGGAGGTAAGGTGTTCCCATCACCCGTTGTGTGTGACATTCCTGAGGTGAGTTCAGAGACAGAGGAATTGGAAACTGATATTCCTGGTATTTTTCCTTCATGTGTAGTTACTAGAGCCCAGGCTATGAAAAAGAAAGAAGAAGTAGATGACAATGATGGTGACGTCAATTTGGGTGACACCTTTTCCAGAACGTTGGAGGAGGGTCAAAATGACCAGAGTCATGCTAAGACTATCTTCAGTCAGCCTGCCTTGATTGAGGTTCAGAAAGCAGCAGAGGACTTGAAGAAGTTGAATGATGTTGCTCTACCAGCAGGAGAAGCTAAAAAGGTGTCACAGTGCTACTCCACAAAATGTGATGTACTGATGTCAAAACCAGTACTGGATGCTCCAAACTTCCAGAAGCCTTATCAGCTTGCCACTGACGCCAGTGATGTAGGAGTTGGTGCTGTCCTCCTACAGATGGAAGACATGGGTTTCCTGAAACCCATGAGCTACTTTTCCAAGAAGCTCAACCCCCACCAGCGAAGACATTCTACTATAGAGAAGGAGTGCCTTGGTCTCGTCTTGCCAGTCCAGCACTTCGATGTGTACCTTAGCAACTCTTCAGAGGTGACTGTATCCACAGATCATAATCCATTGACGTTTTTTGAGCGCTTCAGAAACGAAAACCAGAGACTGTTTCGTCGGAGCCCGTTTCTCTAGCCTTATGGACTGAAAGTGACTCATTTCAAAGGAAAGGACAATATAATCGCAAACACGCTTTCTAGAGCTTAAGCAAGCCTACTGAACATTTGACAAATTGTGAAGAAATTAGAACTTTAATATTTTGTTTTTATTCTTTATAAGGAAGCTACACGCGATTTATGGCTTTGTACTTTGTACATGTATTTTGATCAGACAATTTAATAATTTTGAACAGTGATATGAATGATCATGTAGGAACATTTCACCTATTTACAGGGAGACGCCAGTATGGACAGGGGACTATATTCTGTGGAAAATGTGCACCACATGTCATTGTTTTACCTGTGCCTGCATGTATACTGATATCATGTCTTTTTTTTTGGAGTGTGTTTTTACCTTATTCAGAAAAGTTTTCTTTTGATCAAAAGAGAACAGTTATTATTCATACCCAGCACTGTTAAGTATGCTATGTAAAGTTTGAGGTATTTATCATTTCATAAGAACAACAGCTGTTATCTTATCAATTTTACAGGTGTAAAACAAATTGAAAGCAAAACAAAAGTGTAGCATCACAAATTACATAATGTTGTTATGCAGTTTTCAAAGAGTATTGACTGCCAGTATTGCAAATGTAGGCTATGTGTTTGTGATTTAATTGATAAGTCGTGCTTATTTGTTTATATTTAAACAACTTTCAATTAATAGCTTGCAGCAGTAACTTAACAGATTATGTTTTTCATGTATGTGTACAAGAAATATGTATGTACCCTTATTCTTACATTTAATGTCAGAAATATTTCAAATCTAGCTGTGCACAGTTATGTGGATCATTATAACATATTGCTTCTGTTCACCGACATAATTAATGAGACACTGCATTCCGACATAGTAATGAGGTGTCGTCATAGAAACGCGTCATGTGACTACGTTGTACGCGTTCATTATATGAATATGCAATCATTTGTTATTGTAGTTGTGCGCATTTAGGATATCGGCGCCTTCGCTGAATATTCAGTGTTTCATTTATCGCGCACGCTTATTACGCTCGTGTATTCATGTATTCATATATTCATTATGTGTGATGTGTAGAGACGTGTTTCGGCCACCACAGTTTGTGGTTCTTTATAAAATACAGGCATTGTGTCTGATTAATGTCCTGATATTTACTTCCAGGATTCAGGAAGAAAACATACATGTATAATGTTATCTATCGAATTTGTTTTCATTTTCTGCAGTTTGTGTTTTGTTTTTGAACGTTGAAATGAAAGGACTAATCGGTCTGTCTTCGATATTAGAAAAATGATGTTCATGCCAGCTTGTTATACCTTTTGTGTGGTTAATTTCTCGCCTTTAAATCTTACTATTGTTCAGAAGAAAGTTCTAACTACTGATAGAAACTTTCTTTTATGGGGGGAGATATGTTACGAATATGCAAATGAGATGGTGATCAACATGCTAATTCCAAGATGTGGCTCGAGTTGAGAGCAATAAACGGATCAAAGGTAACCAAATCATCTTGATTGTTCTTTATTTATCGAAATAATTCTGAGTTGTGGAAGGGCCAATATGAGTAGATTGCCCCGACCCAACAACATGAAATCTCCATGATAATAGAAAATATGAAATATTTGAATAAACATTTTATGCCTTTGAAAATAATTTTCACAAAATATTTTCATAGATGCTTAACAGATTTCCATAATTGTTAAGTCCAACTTAGAGAAAAGTTTGACTTAGGATCTTTGTTAAACACTCCCAGGTTTTGGCTATATTTTACAAGTATCTCTCCATGTTGTTTCTGCACAGGATCGAGCACCTCAGGGACGAGTTCAGAAAGTAAACTCAAGCAGATCGTTCCTCCATACCTGGACGATGACGACGACAGCGACGAGGAAGACGAGGACTACCGGTCCGGAGACGAAGAGGAGGAGGAGGAAGACGAAGAGGATGATGATGAGGAGGAGGAGGAGGACTTTGATGGGGAGGATGAGGAGGAATTAGGAGAAGGAGAAGACAGTGGTGATTTTGAGGAGGAGGAGGAGGAGGATTACAGAATGCAGTTGCCAGGTGGAAAAGAAGAGGTACAAGTACGTCAATGTTGGGGAAAGAAGTTTGCAATATTTGGATACACCCATAACATCCTTTCATAACCTTGTTTTAAACGATCTACAATTATAAAGTAACAACATGTTAGGTTTCATTCTTTTTAAATACTTAATACATGTATATCGTCTCTAAATATTGAGAAGGCCCTTTTGGCTCCAAACAGACGCTTCATTGGCTCACGTGATGATGAATGTCTAATTTATAAACCGTTTCTGTGCATAAATTCAATGATGAGGCTGTTAGGCCCCATTTTATAAAACAGATGATGCACAGGTTCAATTCGTGGGTTGGTGGAATTTTGTCACACAGTATCTTCATATTGGGTGTAAAACCATTCAAAGGTACCTTGTGCACACTATTCCAACCGATGCACTCAAACCTGTGCTTCATTTGTATACTGTATTCCTAATTTTGCCTTGAGATATTCCTAATTTTTGCCGTGAAAGGGTGGCAGGTATGGACAGCTCAAGTAAATCTATTACCCTGATCAACCAATCAGCTCTCTCTGATAACCCTGATCAACCAATCAATCTCTCATGATAACCCTGATCAACCAATCAATCTCTCTCTAATAACCCTGATCAACCAATCAATCTCTCTCTAATAACCCTGAATAACCAATCAATCTCTCTCATGATAACCCTAATCAACCAATCAGCTCTCTCTGATAACCCTGATCAACCAATCAATCTCTCTCTAATAACCCTGATCAACCCATCAATCTCTCTCTAATAATCCTTATCAACCAATCAGCTCTCTCTTTTAACCCTGATCAACCAATCAATCTTTCTCTAATAACCCTGATTAACCCATCAATCTCTCTCTAATAACCCTGATCAACCAATCAGCTCTCTCTTTTAACCCTGATCAACCAATCAAGCTCTCTCTTTTGTGTCTCTTTTTTTATAGCCTGGCAGTGACAGCGGGTCAACGGCTGTGGTGGCGCTCCTCAGAGGAAAAACACTCACGGTCGCAAACATCGGCGATTCACGATGCGTGCTGTCAAGGGACGGGGTGGCCCTTGACATGTCGTACGACCACAAGCCCGAGGACGATGTCGAGCTGAGAAGGATAGAGAAGGCAGGCGGGAAGGTCACGCCGGACGGGAGGGTCAACGGGGGACTCAACCTCTCCAGAGCATTTGGTGAGTTAAAGCCCCACTGCACTACTTATAGCTGCTTGCACCCTCTATATAGCAAACCATTCCTAATCGGTGACCATAAGTCCCCCATGATCCCCTTTTTCTTATGTGAATTGAGAGCTGATTAGATGAGGTAACCACCTGTCAGTGACCTTGCAGGGAGGTCCAATCCCCCCTGGCCAAACTAGTTCAGATGGGCTTTAAGCAAAAGAAATTTGAGATGTTTGTAGAGGTGTCATAGTCGAGTGGTTTAATCCCTAGGCTTGGGATGAAGAGGTTGTTGGTTCGAGCCCCGGCACGGCACTTGTGCCCTTGGGCAATTTATCAACATTGCTTCTCTCCACCCACGTGTCAAACAGTAGATTGTGCCTAATTGAATCAATCACAATCGGCACAATGCATCATTTTTGCTGTTTATGACAATTTCTTTCTTTCCATGAAAATGGCCATCCTAAACAATTTTATCTGTGGAAGTTTTATGACACAAAGTTAATCTTGTTCTGCAGTATATGTTTATAGTCTTTGTTTGTATATGAAATCCAACCTCAAGTTTTGGTTGCAATAAAAAACAGAGTATTCATCAGAATTTTATAATGAATAGTCTTAAATTTATAGATAGTGACTAAAATGACAACGCATCTTTTTTACTCTTTTTAGCAAGAATCCTTGTCTGCAGTGGAGGAAGAAAATCAAATACTCTCACCTTGGTCATTTGACCGGTAACATTTGTAAATTGACCGCACTCATGTACCCATTCTGTACCTCTCTCCACAACAGGTGACCATTGCTATAAGATGACGACATCTCTACCTCCTGAAGAACAGATGATAAGTGCCTTCCCTGACATCAAAACCGCCACACTCACAGAGCATGACGACTTCATGGTCGTTGCATGTGATGGCATCTGGTATGTATTATTCATGGCATTTTTTTTTTCAGTGGGACTCTTTAATGGGATCGTTTAACAATGTTAAATCTGAGATGCACGGCCCTTTGTATACTGTTATCAGTGTCTGTGATATGGTGTAATATTGAAGCCCTGAAAAAATTGCGCTTCAAAATGATCATGAAGTGCGTCGAAAAAGTAAGACCAGTTTTACCATACTCATTTTTCCCAATAGACTGTAGTGTTATAAAAAAAAAAACGATAGGAAAACAAATTCTGAAATTTCTAATTTCTATCATAGATATCTTGATAATCAGACAGGCCATTGGCTTGTAAAATTCATGGGATGCATGTACGACGTAAAGGTTTGTAATCATGATTGCAGCATGAGCAAAATCCAGGATTTTTTTTTAAATCTTAGGCAAAGTTTCCCAATCTGTTTAATGCCTTCATACTACAGTCAAATCTAGTTTAGAAACTTCCAGTCTACAAAGACCACATTTTTTGTTTCCCCTGAAAATGGTTTCTCATTGAAACTTGTGCCATGGGTGGTACCTGTCTACAAAGACCACCTTTTGTGTTTCCCTTGGGCGGCCGCTGTAGACAGGTTTGACTGTATGAGAAATTGTTTCATAATTTGTTACAGAATTATTGTATTGTGAAAGTGGTGTACACATCTGAAAAAATATGGTATAAAGAAACTAGTTTGAAGAGATCGGTCGACACAAGGTTAATGTCAGCTTTATACATGTAGGTGAAAGCTGGGCCCCATTTCACAAAACTTTTCATCGGTGATAAATGACAGTTTTTTGTTATAAGCTACTGAAATCCTTGCTTCTGATTGGTTATCAATTTCAATTTTTTTTTTTTTCCAATTCAAGTTGCAAATTATTGTCTTTTATTAGTCAGAATGCGAATCGCATATAATAATTGTTGCTCGGTAAGAAAAACAATATGCAATTTGATTCTGACTTATTGAGATATATTCAGGCCTGATAAAAACCCGATTTAAATCGGTTTTCCGATTTTTTATATTTTTCCCAATTTTTTCCCAATTTTTTTTTTTCTTCCCGATTTAAAAAAAAAAAAAATCAAGATTTTTTTTATTTTTTTAATTTTTTTTACCAGATTTTTTTTCTTCTTCGCTATTAATTTTATCCTGATTTTCCTGATTTCCACTTTATTTTCTCTGTTCTACCCTATTTTTTTCCCAAATTTCCCTATTTTTTCCCAATTTTCTCACTCGAAAGGGGGGAATGTTGTTAGATGCCATTTTTTCCCCGCGAATCCTCTTCTTTTTTTTTTTACTCAAGCGGGGGCGTGGTTGAGGGGAAAACAAAAAACCTTTTTTTTTTTTAGTGCTCACTATCACCCCTGTATATTGTAACGAGGCACTGACAGATTTGTCCACTAATTGGATCGCATTAGGAAAATGGCCTATTAGTGAAATGACAAAGTTCTTTGATTACATAGGTAGATTACTCTGATATCACCTTTATTACAGGAATGCCATGACCAGTCAAGATGTGATTGACTTTGTAACGCACAGACTGGAAAATTCAAGAGAGTCCGACCAAAGTAATAAACTTTCCAAGATTTGTGAAGAGGTGAGTATACTTTTTTATGCCTCTGTTACAAAGTAGCCGAAGGCATTATGTTTGGAGGTTGTCTGTACGTCCTGTTCTTGTGATTGCGTTATCTCAAGAACCGATTTAAGGATTACCACTAAACTTGGGTCATGTATGTATCTTGCAGAGCCAGTGAACTGATTAGATTTTGGGGTCACAGGGCTCATTATGTGTGCACAAATAGCTTGTGATCACATTATCGTTGGAACGGATGGACGGATTACCATCAAACTCAAGGCATGTATGTATCTTGCAGAGCCCATGAACTGATTAGATTTTAGGGTCATGAGGTCAAAGATCAAAGGGTCATACATGTAAATAAAAAATAGCTTATATTCACGATATTCTGAGAACCTGTTAATGGATTACAATCAAACTTGAATTTTAAAAATTGCTTCTGTTTGGTTCGTAACATCGCTCTATGGCCGAGGCATCATTTTCGAAAATCCATCTAGTTTTATAGTATTTCCGTTGTTTTGTTTTTAACATGTATAAGTGTCCCAATACCAAGCAAATATCTGCTGACAGAAAGATGCCGGTGAGGAATTTAAATTTGGCACAGCCGTTACATATGTTAAAAGATATCCCATTGGTACATACTGTGTGTTTGCGTTTGCAAGGGTTTTTACAGACGTGTATTAACAGGATAATCGTTTTCGTCTTGACACGGCAAACCTTTAACACTGGTCAAGTTGTAGGTAGATCACAGTGTTAACCACTGGACTATTCCTTGGTATCTGGTGTAGTCTTCCCTATTACCCTTGAAAAGTTTTATGTCAGTACTTTTTATTTAAAGATACTATGTCCCTTTTGCAGCCAACATCAAATTCTGTAGAACTTTGCAGGAATTATGAATATGTCATGTATGTCGTATCTGTGATATTCAAACGTTAGCAATGTCCTAATATTCAAATTATGCAAGGAAACCTGTGTACTTGCTAGACTTCACTGTCAGACACTATGGAGCGACACTATTATGTAATAACATACATAAAATGAGCTGTAAAGGGTACATGAGCATTTGTCTACATCAATCACCCACTTCTTGTAACGGCCAAACTTAAACTGATTAAATCTTTGCGCAGCATTAAACATTCAACTAATCGGTACAATGGTATGAAAATCAGACTATTACTTCCTAGCTCTATACCTCTTAAGTCGATTCGACAACTTATATTCGTTATTTTCCCACTTAAAGACATTTTCAAGCCCACCCCCCCCCCTTTTTTTGTTTAGGGAAGTTCTAAATTAGTATTATCTTTCAAATGCCGTTGGAATTTAACCTTCTCATTTTTTGGGCCTGCAAATGAACATAGTACCTTTAAAGTCATGAGAATCTTAGAATACTGTGACAAACCCTAGAAGGTTAGAGCAGTTTGTTGGTTTAAAGATGTTCAAGCGGCGGTATATAGTCGTTCGTGAAGAAGCCAACTTGTCAAATACTGAGCCAACAGGTTTTACACTCCCGTACGGACGTATGCATAAAGTGACACTAGTACACTTGGGAGCGTAATAACTGTTGGCTCAGTGTGCTGCCCTCTATATACCCACGCATGAGCAACTTTAATACAGGAGTAGTTAAGATTTCAGACTATTGGAGACTGGAGTCTATAAAATATTTTAATTTAACCAACCCAGTTCTTGGTAGAGGGCTAAAAGTCATTTACTTCTGTGACATTTTACATCTTTTCATTCCTTAAAGGTACTATGTCCCATTTGCAGGCCAAAAAAATAAAAAGGTTAAATTCCAACGGCATTTGAAAGATAAAAAAAATAATTTAGAACTTCCCTAAAAAAAGAGGGGCTCAAAAATAACAACTGTTGTCAAATCGACTTAAGAGCTATAGAGCCAGTAAGTAATAGTCTGATTTTCAGACCATTGTACCGAATGGTCATACGTTTTATGCTGCGCAAAGATTCAATCAGTTTAATTTTGGCCATCACAAGAAATGGGTTATTGATGTAGACAAATGCTCATGTACCTTTTACTGCTCATTTTTTACCAAAGAAGAAGAAAAAAAGACATTCAGTCACTAAATAGTGTCTGACAGTGAAGTCTAGCAAGTAAACAGGTTTCCTTGCATAATTTGAATATTAGGACACTGCTAACGTTTAAATTTCACAGATAGGACATACATGACATATTCAGAATTCCTGCAAAGTTCTACAAAATTTGATGTTGGTTGCAAAAGGGACATAGTATCTTTAACTCCTTCTCCAGCTCTTTCACTTCTGGTTAGCCCCTGACACGGCGGGCGATGGAACAGGGTGTGACAATATATTCATTGTACAATTCCTTTACGATGGCTCAGACTCCATCTGAAATGTTTTACGGTCATATTTTTATGTCCATTTATAATTATATGTATCTCTTTTCCTTCTTTCAATCTTCCCCCAGCTCTTTGATTTCTGCTTATCACCCGACACGTCTGGCGACGGAACCGGGTGCGACAACATGACCTGCGTCATTGTACAATTCCACAGCAACGGCGCAGACTCCATCTCGGGGGCTTCGGTCAGCGCCAAGAGAAAATCGGCCGAGGATAAACCGGAAGAGACGGACAGCAAGAAACCAAGACATTGACCTTCGACCTATGCAGTAACTTCTCTGTCGGAAAGTGGAAGTCGACCCGTGAAATAAGTTGGTTTATTGAGAGCAGAAAAAAGAAGAGAATCAATTGGTGAAATTTTTTTAGGGGCAAATCCGATACAGAATAAGAAAGTTATCAATTTTGTTGAAGTTGCAATCAATCACATGGTAATTAGCAACTTTGTGACATACCTCTCCCTTTACCCTGTACTGTACGTCCATAAATTTCCAATTCCATGGTGGTTGATGAATCGAATTAATCTTTTTATATAGAGCCTGTTGTAAAATAAACATGTGTCCAGTCATATCTCTAGGGCAGGGGTATAAGGAAAACAATATCTCATTTTAAATCAAATTGAAATTAATTTGAATTTCCTTGTGCAGAACATGCGGGGGAGGTGCGTAGAGAGGACATGTACACTGTATGTCAAAGTATATTGCCGATTTGCGCTTGATCAATTACAACTTGCAAAATTCATAACTGTCATACCTTTTAGCAGATTCTCTGATTATTTTTGTTCTCATTTTCATGCTCTTGTTTGAACGAACTTGATGCGAGAGTGGACTTCCGACTTGACCTGCATAGCCATCATTTCCAAAGCCCTGGGCCCGTTTCACAAAGCCGTTTTTCAATGACCAATCACAAAAATCATTGACAAATCTGCTGATAACCAATCAGAAACAAGGATTTCAGTAGCTTATAACAAAGCCTGTCATTTGTCACGGATGACAAGTTTTGTGAAACACCCCCCTTTTCTCACAAGTCTGTATTCGCCCTATAAGTGCAAACCAGCATAGAAATCCTACAACTGAACATTGGGGGCGCACTTCTACAGAGTTGTGGAGTGCTTCTGCCAGTTTATTCTCATTCTCTTTCTTAAATGACTCTTTGCTCATGATGACTACCTATATATCACAGCAACAACAACTTTTCTGCCTGGTATTTCCACCTCCACACTTAGTTGTGATACTTGAAAGGTTTTCTCTTCGTTCAATCTTTATAATTATATCATACCTCCTCTTTCATGGTACCAGAAATATGCGGCGTTCACAAGTGACTACCTGAAAAGAACGTCAAAATATTGTGGCGTAACCGGGATCTGCAGGGGTTATCTTCTGCCTTGCAGTCTCTCAAAATCCGGTCCACGCTCTCGACAATCATTCATCAACGATCTCACAGTGGGCTCTCAGAAAAGTGTATCGTGAAAGAAAAACGTGGACTAGCTCTCATTCACTCACTCCCGCAACCACTGAATGTATGACAGGACTAAAGAAAAAACACTTACAGAGTATTTGCAGTTCAGGTAACTTTATCTCGTTTCTTGTACCTGTCGCAACGACAGCTCAACATTGACTGACTGACATCTCACGATGTACATGTTTCTTCTCACAATCAATTATAACGCCCTCTACATCTTACTAAATTACTGGACTAGTTATGCTACAATATAATCAAATATATGATTAATACGGGAATGCAGGATCAGGTTTTGAAGTCTTTGAAAACTCACGACTAATACAGTTTCTGTCATGCTGCTCAAGTGAGGAACTCTTTCTAGTTTCTCACATTCTTCACCAAATGAACAAATCAAAGGTGCTTGTAATCCTCTTTCTTGTGGACAGTGCTGCAATGGCATAGCTTTAGTAGTGACAGTCAACTCCACAGTCTTTAGTTTTGTATGTATACTATGCTTCCTGATCGTACATGTATGTGGTCTTCAAATTATTCTAGGAGTTCACTCAACCTAACCCATATCTCGCTTGAATCCCAAACCCTAACCCCATTTTCTTTGACAAATGTCGCCAGAACAAATGTCGGATCATCGTTCAAGTAGACGATAATACAATTTTTCTTGCGTGTTGTCACCTGCGTTTTGTGTAAGTTCTGTGTTGCCAGGCTCCTGTTTCTGATAATGCATTCCATTCTGTAGCCTATGGTTCGAATATACAGTATGTCAACTGTTTTATATCACAACTGTGAAATGGGGACCTTAGTCGTCCCTGACAGAGAAAATGGATTGAATCTTCCACAGATTGAATTAAATCATTTTGTAATTAAATTTCACGATAATGATCTGAAAAAAAGAAGAAAAAAAATATTTTTCTTGATCTGCATGTACATGAGTTTCAGTTATTCCTCTCTGTATATTGTAGACATTAAGAGAGTAATTATGACATCTGTGTTAAGAACTTTAAGAAGTTCATCGTAATAAGGCCTAATCAATGGTCAATTGTTTGTAAGTTTCAATAATGTTGAATTCCTCAGAAATTGTCAGTCCTTGTTCCTACCTTCAATTTGTACAAACGTTTTCACATTTTGTAAGATGTATTATGCAATCGAAAATTGCTGAAAGTAATTCGATTTGAAAACTTCAAAATTGATCATCGATACGAGTCATATACAGCACACGTGTATAAAGTGCAAGCACACATACACATGTACATGTATATTTTTTCAGTTGATAGATAAAAGCAGCTTTACCGGTGTTCAAATATAGTGGTACTAATTTTTCCAGTGATTTTTATTTGCTGAAAAGACAGCCACGTAAACCTATTTTTATATTCAATTGATGATGTGGTGTTATTTGTTGAAATGCTTTGTGCTGTCCGGTTTCTTTTTATCTTCCCGACACATGTTACAAATTGTTGTTCTCGTTATCTGTTGGGCTGAGAAATATTCCAATACAGTGGGAACTCATTATGATCGGTACATTTGGACCAAGAAAATTATCTAGTTATATCAGGATTATCATTCTTTTTTAAAGAATATAAAGTGTTGGAACCAGCAAAATTACCTTGGTTTATGAGGTTTCTCAATATCAGAGTTCTTTATATTAAAGACAGTCAATACTACTGGGCCAGAAGGGATTAGACCACACAGCGAGGTCACTGACAGGTGGCTATCTCATTAACTCAGCTCTGAACTAACATAAGAAAAAGAGGATCATGGGGGACCAACAGGCACCGATTGGGGAAGTTTTCTATAATGAGGGAGCAAGTAGCTACAAGTAGGACAGTGGGGCTTTAAACAACTTTCCTCCGTACAACCAGTGTATTCTATGTTGGCTAAAAGATTAAAGTTAAAGACGGGGTATTCTACTGACGCTACTCTAGATTTACGAACACTGCCATCTGCTGCTCACAATGTCCTGACGTGTCGACAACCATGTCCCACAATGCATGATGATGCTTCGGTCACGGACCAGGAAATCACTCTATGTTCACCTTCACCGAAACATGGCGTAATTGAAAATACATTACAGCAGTCAGAGCGTTGTCAGTAGAATACTCTGTCTTTAAGATGTTCATGCATGGGTATATACCGGTAGTCATTCGTGAAGTAGGCAACTTGGTGATCACTACATAACACTGAGCCAACAGGTATTACGCTCCAGTGCATACGTCCGTTTGCTGCCATCTTTATACCCACGCTTGAGCAACTTGAACTTTAAGTCTCCTAGGATCTTTATCTGTAATGAACAAATCAAGAAAATGAGTCGGGTCAATCTATTATTCTCATCTCTAAAATTATGCCAAAAAATATCTAAATTTGCCTTGGCACTGAAAGGGTTCAAACAAAACAATTTTTAACAATTTTCTAAAGAGACTAATTAGGACTACCAAGTATTCTATATCCCATCATGTTTGGATAGCCTAATAAGTCATTTTTTGCAAATTTTGAAGGCTGATGGACAAGGCTATTGAATTTGCCTGAAGGTCATTCTTTGCAATTTGGCCAATCGCATTAATGAGGAAGAGGTTTTTCTTTTGGTAAAATATATCTTCGGATCAGAAACCATACTCGTCTGCAATGGCCACCGCCATACCATGTTGTAGATAAGATAAAGGTGAGTTCTGGTAAAAAAAAAAATAATAATAATTCTCACAGAATCAAACGAAAATTGCACTGAATGTTCAAGATTACAAATAAATGTCATTTGTTCTCTTGATATCCACCAAAGATTCATGACGAAATTTGGAGATTTCTGGCCAGGCAGCCCGATGGAAATGTCAAATCGCAAAATGGGGGAGTGAATATTTTTTATATTCTGAGACTAGAATGTTTATAAACTGTGAATTACCCATCAACTATAACAAACAAATTTTGGAGACTTGATAGTGGTTTTGAGCTTACAACTCTCATGGTAGGCTTAATAAATTATTTTACATGATCAACTATCCCAAATAACAATCTGTTCTAAAATGCATTTTCATTAATTGGGACTAGTTTCTATTGAATTAGGACTTAAAAAGCTTAAAGCAATCCACAACATTTCACCTGTAAATGACCCCTCACCAATCAAATTGCTCTATTTTACTCTTTTTTTTTCTGTTAGTGCCTGTCCTTTCGGAGCGAGGATATTACGGTTATTTTCAAAAGGACATGATCAGTCGTCGCTGTTCTACATTGTACATGTATGTTTGTTTTGTTGGGAAGAAAACAGAAATCTTAATTGATGATTATGTTTCATATGTTGGAATAAATAGAACAATGCAAATTTGCTACACATTTGACTGACGTGAGTGTACTTTCATCGTAGTTTCTTATTTAGTGGAGCTTGAGAGCGTTTTCATTTTGTTTTCTCTCTTTCTCTCTCTCTCTCTCTCTCTCTCTCTCTCTCTCTTCTCTCTCTCTCTCTCCCTCTCTTTCTCTCTCTCTCTCTCTCTCTCTCTCTCTTTATCTCTCTCTCTCTCTCTCTCTTGATTGTTTGATGGTTTGTTTTCTACCCGACTGGTAAAAAAGCATATGTGTGTATAGGCCTGAGAAACAAGGGAACTATTGGTTTAAATCCTATCCTAGGAACTTGCATATGAAGATTAATGCAATAACAAAGAAAATAGTCTCTCATCCGCCAGCGTCTTATTTAGTGAAATAGTTAGGTTGTTACTTGTTACTAACTTTTCAAAAACGTCCCAATTTTCTGATAAAGATGAAGCCGATTTCTTTACAGGTAAAAGAGTTTGAACTTGAACACGGATGCGCTTTCCACAAAACAAATTCCAATTCTATTCCTCAAACTTATTGCACACCGTGTGGAAGTGTGTGGGTGTGTGATGGCCTGTGGGAGTGTGATAGTTTTGGTGAGTTGCTGTTTGGTCCAATTTCGTCTACTAACCGATTGGTTTATAACTTTATTCCCATTTGATCTACACCCAGCCCGTCTACTATCCACGTGGTCTAATAATAATTTTGTCTCATTATCATTTGGTCTAACGTCCATTTAGGCTAATAGTCATTTGGTCTAATTTTCATTTGGTGTAATCTCAAATAGGTCTACTACCCATTTGGTCTTTCACTCATTTGGTCTACTTGCCAGGCGGTCTAATTCCCATTTTGGCTAATATCCATATGGTATACTAGTTATTCAATGACAAAAATAATCACCAAATGATTATTAGAACTTATGGATGGTAGTCGAAATAGGAATTAGACCGACTGGCAATAAGACCAAATGACTATCAGCATAAATGGTCATAGACCAAATTTTAAGTAGATGGAATGATTATTTGACCATTTGGATTGTAGACTGGCTAGGCCGGTGTAGACAATAGGGGGAATAGACCAACTGGGTTTCATATTACGAACTAGTAGTAAACCAAACGGATACGAACCATAGTTATGTGGGTGTGTAATGGTTTTGAGAGTATATGATAGAATTTAGGGAGTGCGGTGATTGTGTGAATGTACGATGGTTTGTAGCATGCGTTCGATGGTTGCATAGCCGTAAAGTTGTAAAGTCGTACAGTTTACTGCGTTCTGATTGGTCAAAACCTTACTTCCATAAAATGGATGTATGGTTGTATATTGTCATGAATATGGCATGTTCCGCCCGCCATATGCGGTGGGTGTGTTATGATTGTGTGGGTGATTAATGTTTGTGTGGGGGGGGGGGATGTGACGAATATGTGGGAATGTGATGAGTGTGACGGTTGTGTGTTTCATTACTTTTAACTTCTTTGTTTGATCAAATCAAATGCAGTATAAAATCTTCACAAGTCATATAATTTGATTCTAGTAACCGTATTTTAGTACATTTTTCCATTTCAGCTATTTATATACAGATTCCAGTATGATTACATTTGTAACTTGACATTACTAAATATATATAGGCTTATACCTATTCGTTTTATTTACCTTTAAACTGAAATGAGATCACAATATTCCACAAGGGTACAATTAAGATGATTTTGAAGAAAACAAATTAAGACACTTTGATGAGAAATTCCAAGCCGTGAAATATACGTATAGACAACAAGTAGAAAGATGAAAACCAAATATTTGATAAACAGACTTTCAATTGAAAACAATATAGATACTGAACTTATGTACATCAATTATTATCAATGCAATGTATTTCAAGTAAGGTAAGGGCCTCATTACCACAGTATAAAATATATCACTTTCATTTCATTTCATTTCTAGCTCTTTTTGACACGATTATACATTGTGTATAAAATATATACATGTGTATCAATACAAAATGTTCATTCATTCATTCGGGCAATGTACATGGCTCGTTCTAAGAATAATTACATGTATAGGGCACTTTATACAGGTGTGTCTAAGCGCTCTAATTCGAGGGCCCGTGGATTCTTTGTCATTTGTATTGCATTTTTGCCTGAATAAACAATCTAAACTGCAATTACTGTGTGTAACTGCAGTATCTAAGTTTTGTTTTCATTCAATGTATACAATGACAATCGACATGAATTTTCTTCACCATTTAATTTTGGAAATCTGTCGATAGAAAGTCAGCAATGGTATCCCGACCGCCTTATTACTAAATAAGTGCTGTACGAAGCATGTGAATGCCGAATATAAGATTTATTCCCCTTCAAATTCAGAATCGAGCTGAGTTCTTTATAAATCTGACACCAGACGGCTTAGCGGTAGAGCTTGAACTTTGTTCCTCCCTCTCCGGCCAGAGGATCGCTTACAGAGAACATCATAATGTTGGCGTGGTCTGCAAGAGGTTAAAGGCAAGGTAGCAGGTATTTTACATGTTACTTAGAAAAAAATCTTTCTAACATTGTTCCTTCAAAATTTTGTTCAAATATTTAAGTTTTATCCGATTTTTAACAATGCATGTATTCTCTTGAAATACGTATTTACTTAAAACCCAATGGTAAAAGAATTAAAGAAAGATTTAACTCAACAAACTGATAGCCTTAAACTTATGAGCCCGTTAAAGACATCATCAAATTACTCCTCTATATTTTATAACTCAACAAGCTAAAATTCTCCAAAGTATGCATCTTTCCTTGCTAGCCATC